GGGGTCAAAGTTTTGGGGACCACACGGGTCATAGTTGGGTCCCAGGGGTTAGAGTTGAGTCACCAGGGGTCAGAGTTGAGTCACCAGGGGTCAGAGTTGGGTCACCAGGGGTCAGAGTTGAGTCACCAGGGGTCAGAGTTGGGTCACCAGGGGTCAGAGTTGAGTCACCGGGGGTCAGAGTTGAGTCACAGGGGGTCAGAGTTGAGTCACCAGGAGGGAGAATTGCATTCACAGGGGTCAGAGTTGAGTCACCACGAGTCAAAGTTGAGTGACCAGGGGTCAGAGTTGAGTCATCAGGGGTCAGAGTTGAGTCACCGGGGGTCAGAGTTGAGTCACCGGGGGTCAGAGTTGAGTTCCCGGGGGTCAGAGTTGAGTCACCGGGGGTCAGAGTTGAGTCACCAGGGGTCAGAGTTGAGTCACCAGGGGTCAAAGTTGAGTGACCAGGGGTCAGAGTTGAGGGACCAGGGGTCAGAGTTGAGTCACCAGGGGTCAGAGTTGAGTCACCAGGGGTCAGAGTTGAGGGGACCAGGGGTCAGAGTTGAGTCACCAGGGGTCAGAGTTGAGTCACCAGGGGTCAGAGTTGAGTCACCAGGGGTCAGAGTTGAGTCACCAGGGGTCAGAGTTGAGTCACCAGGGGTCAAAGTTGAGTCACCAGGGGTCAGAGTTGAGTCACCAGGGGTCAGAGTTGAGTCACCAGGAGATAGAGTTGGGTCACCGGGGGTCAGAGTTGAGTCACCAGGGGTCAGAGTTGAGTCACCAGGAGACGGAGTTGAGTCACAAGGAGACAGAGTTGAGTCACCAGGGGTCAAAGTTGAGTCATCAGGAGGGAGAGTTGAGTCACCAGGGGTCAGAGTTGAGTGACCAGGAGGCAGAGTTGAGTCACCGGGGGTCAAAGTTGAGTCACCAGGGGTCAGAGTTGAGTCACCAGGGAGGAGAACTCGGCTCCGTTCCCAGAGCCGACTCTGGATTATCTCCCGGCTCTGGTTCCGGCTCCGGTTTCTCTGGATCCGGCTCCGGCTCCGTTCCCAGAACCGACTCTGGATTACCTCCCGGCTCCGGCTTCTCTGGATCCGGCTCCGGCTCCGTTCACAGAGCCGACTCTGGATTATCTCCCGGCTCCGGATCTTCCGCTCCGGGATCCGGCTCCAGCTCCGTTCCCAGAGCCGACTCTGGATTAGCTCCCGGCTCCGGCTCCAGCTCCTCTGGATCCGGCTCCGGTGCCTCGGGGCTCTCCCCAAAGCGTCCGTACTTCGACATGTCCGAGTGTCCGAGGGAGAAGCGCTCCGGCTGCTGCCGCCGCCGTTCCGGTAGTGGGGAGGATCAGGAGGAGGAGGAGGAAGCTTCTGGGAATGGCCACCGAGAGACGGACGCCACCACCACCACCACAACTACCACCACCACAACAACTACCACCAACACAACCACAACCACGGCGGCGCCGGTGACGACGACGACGACGACGAGGAGGAGGAGGGTGGGGAGGAGGAGGAGGAAGGGGGGGAGGGGCGGGGCGAAGGGCACCACCACCACCACGACTACAACCTCGACGATGTTGGCACCCGGCCACGAAGAACGGGGGGGAACGGTGGCGGTGGAGGCGGCGGTGGTAGAGGCGGTGGTGCCGGTAGAGGCGGTGGTGGCGGTGGTGGTGGAGGTGGTGGAGGTAGTGGAGGAGGCGGTAGTAGAGGAGGTGGTAGAGGTGGTGGTGGAGGAAGTGGAGAAGGTGGTGGAGAAGGTGGTGGAGGTGGTAGAGAAGGTGGAGGAGGCGGTGGAGGTGGTGGAGGAGGCGGTGGTGGAGAAGGTGGTGGAGGTGGTAGAGAAGGTGGAGGAGGCGGTGGAGGTGGTGGAGAAGGTGGTAGAGAAGGTGGAGGTGGTAGAGAAGGTGGAGGAGGCGGTGGAGGAGGTGGAGGAGGTGGTAGATGCGGTGGCGGTGGTGGCGGTAGAGGAGGCGGTGGTGGTAGAGGTGGTGGTGGAGCCCCAGCGGAATTTGACAGCCGGCGGGAACGGAAGCTCCAGTGCGGGCAATGTTGCCGCGGAAGGACAGGCTGTGGTAGGACAGGCTGTAGGACAGGCTGTAGGGCAGGCTGTAGGGCAGGCTGTAGGACAGGCAGAACGACAGGCTGTAGGACAGGCTGTAGGACAGGCGGAAGGACAGGCTGTAGGACAGGCGGAAGGACAGGCTGTAGGACAGGCGGAAGGACAGGCTGTAGGACAGGCTGTAGGACAGGCTGTAGGACAGGCTGTAGGACAGGCGGAAGGACAGGATGTAGGACAGGCGGTAAGACAGGCTGTAGGACAGGCTGTAGGACAGGCGGTAAGACAGGCTGTAGGACAGGCGGAAGGACAGGCGGTAAGACAGGCTGTAGGACAGGCTGTAGGGCAGGCTGTAGGGCAGGCGGTGGTAGGAGACGTGGACCAGCATCCCGTGGAGGATGATGATGATGAGGGGGATGATGACGAGGCCCTGGTGAGGTTCCTTGTGTCGCTGGCTGGCAGCATCCGCGTGCCGGGCTCCACCCCACCACACCACCCACCCAGCTGAGGCTCTCTCCCTACGTGACCTCTCCGTGACCTTTCCGTGACCCCTCCATGACCCCTCCGTGACCTCTCCCTCCGTGACCTCTCCGTGACCTTTCCCTACGTGACCTCTCCGTGACCTTTCCCTACGTGACCTCTCCGTGACCTCTCCCTCCGTGACCTCCCTCCGTGACCTTTCACTCCATGACCTCTTGCTCGTGACTTCTTTGTGACCTCTCCGTGACCTCTCGCTCCATGACCTCTCCGTGACCTTTCTCCCCGTGACCTCTCCCTCCGTGACCTCTCCTTCTCCGTGACCTCTCCGTGACCTCTCGCTCTGTGACCTCTCCGTGACCTCTCGCTCCGTGGAAGTTTCTCCGGTCGCTCGGGAAAGTTTCTCCGTTGGTCGGAAAAGTTCCTCCCGAAGCCGATCGATTCTTTTGGCCTGCCGTGGTTTTAGCTTTTGATGGTTGGGGGGGGGGGTATAGGGGAGGTTAGTGGTGGGGGGGGGTGGTAGGTTGAAGGGATGGGTGGGGGGGTCCGGTTTTTGAAGATGGGAAATCTACAACCTCTGTGGCTCTTTCGATAAAAGTCACGTGGGCTAGAAATGAAACCAAATGAACGTATAAGATTTCGATGTAAAGCTTCTTTCGTGACTGCAGCAGCAGGGATTCATCTTCTTGGTTCTTTCGGTAAAGTCATCACGTAGAAGGGAAGTAATAAAATAATAAAAATAGACGTTTCGGCCCTCAGGTGAAGAACAGGTCTGTCGTGAAGACAGCGTCATTCACATCAACATCATCATCATTAACATCATCATCATCAACATCATCATTTACATCATCAACATCATCAACATCATCTTTTTTTTCGATTTAAAGCTTCTTTCGTGACTGCAGTGATTCATCTTCTTGGTTCTTTCGGTAAAGTCATCACGTAGAAGGGAAGTAATAAAATAATATTTTATTATGTTTTATTTTTATTGTTTTATTTTTATTATTTTATTGTTTTATTTTTATTATTTTATGTTTTATTATTTTATTATGTTTTGTATTATTTTTTATTATTATATCATATTTTATTTTTATTATTTTATTATGTTTTATTTTTTATTATGTTTTCATTTTATTATTTCCCTTCTACGTGACGACTTTACCGAAAGACCCAACAAGATGAATCCCTGCTGCAGTCACGAAAGAAGCTTTAAATACAAATGAACGCAGTCACTCCGTCTTCAACCCCGATATCACGCCGTCTCTGCTGCCTTCATCTTGTGTCATGTCCACCCCACGTGACTTTCTTTACCCACAAAAACACAGACCGAGAGAGAGGCGCGTGGATTGCTACGGTCCTCGAAAGCTTTGATGGGGACATCCGTCTGATGTTTCATTTCGTTTGCTCTGACCGGGTAGGGTGGGGTGGGTGGGTGGGTGGTGAGGGTTGTTGTTGTTGATGGTTCACTTATTGTTCAAAGCCTCTCGTTCGAGAGGTCCGTCGGCAATTTCGGGGAGTTGCGTGGAATCAATTAAAGCAAAGTGGCGGCAGGGTGCTGATCGATTCGAGAATTTGAGGTCTTGGTTCCTGGACCCCGAGTGAGTGAGTGTGTCAAAAGCCATACAGAGCCACTGTCTCATCCCATACAGAAATACCATGTCACCCCATACAGAGCCACCGTCTCATCCCATACAGAGTGAGTGTGGTAGTGGTGAGTGTGGTGAGTGGTGAGTGAGTGAGCTGGTGAGTGAGCTGGTGAGTGAGTGGTGAGTGAGTGTGGTGAGTGAGCTGGTCAGTGGTGAGTGAGCTGGTGAGTGAGCTGGTGAGTGAGTGGTGAGTAAGTGAGTGAGCTGGTGAATGAGCTGGTGAGTGAGCTGGTGAGTGAGTGGTGAGTGAGTGTGGTGAGTGAGCTGGTGAGGTGAGTGAGCTGGTGAGTGGTGAGTGAGCTGGTGAGTGAGTGAGTGAGCTGGTGAGTGAGTGAGCTGGTAGTGAGCTGGTGAGTGAGTGAGCTGGTCAGTGAGTGAGCTGGTGAGTGAGTGAGCTGGTGAGTGAGTGAGTGAGTGAGCTGGTCAGTGAGTGAGTGAGCTGGTGAGTGAGCTGGTGAGTGAGCTGGTGAGTGAGTGAGCTAGTGAGTGAGCGAGCTGGTGAGTGAGTGAGTGAGCTGGTGAGTGAGTGAGTGAGCTGGTGAGTGAATGAGTGAGCTGGTGAGTGAGTGAGCTGGTGAGTGTAGTGAGTGAGCTGGTGAGTGAGTGAGTGGTGAGTGTGGTGAGTGAGTGAGTGAGCTGGTGAGTGAGTGGTGAGTGAGTTCTGTGTGTGCGCCATCTGTCTGCCCGCCTTGTGTGGTGAGTGTAGTGAGTAGTTGTGTTGGTTGTGTGTGTGGTAGTGGTGAGTGGTGAGTGGTTGTGTTGGTTGTGTGTGTGGTAGTGGTGAGTGGTTGTGTTGGTTGTGTTGGTTGTGTGTGTGGTAGTGGTGAGTGTGGTGAGCTGGTGAGTGAGTGGTGAGTGTTAGTGGTGAGTGTAGTGAGTGGTAAGTGGTTGTGTTGGTTGTGAGTGCTGTGTGTGGTGAGTGAGTGAGCTGGTGAGTGAGTGAGCTGGTGAGTGAGTGGTGAGTGTGGTGAGTGGTGAGTGAGTGAGTTGGTGAGTGAGTGGTGAGTGAGTGAGCTGGTGAGTGAGTGGTGAGTGGTGAGTGAGTTCTGTGTGTGGTAGTGGTGAGTGAGTGGTAGTGGTGAGTGGTGAGTGGTTGTGTTGGTTGTGTGGTAGTGGTGAGTGTGGTGAGTGCTGTGTGTGGTGAGTGAGTGAGCTGGTGAGTGAGCTGGTGAGTGAGTGGTGAGTGAGTGAGCTGGTGAGTGAGCTGGTGAGTGAGTGGTGAGTGAGTGAGTGAGCTGGTGAGTGGGTGAGCTGGTGGGTGAGTGGTGAGTGAGTGAGTGAGCTGGTGAGTGGTGAGTGAGTGGTGAGTGAGTGAGTGAGCTGGTGAATGAGTGAGCTGGTGAGTGAGTGGTGAGTGTGGTGAGTGAGTTGTGTGTGTGTAGTGAGTGGTGAGTGAGTTGTGTGAGTGAGTGAGCTGGTGAGTGAGTGAGTGAGTGGTGAGTGTAGTGAGTGAGTGGTGAGTGAGTGGTGAGTGAGTGGTGAGTGAGTGAGTGAGCTGGTGAGTGAGCTGGTGAGTGAGTGGTGAGTGTGGTGAGTGAGTGAGCTGGTGAGTAAGTGGTGAGTGAGTGAGCTGGTGAGTGAGTAAGCTGGTGAGTGAGCTGGTGAGTGAGTGGTGAGTGAGTGAGTGAGCTGGTGAGTGAGTGAGCTGGTGAGTGAGTGGTGAGTGAGTGAGTGAGCTGGTGAGTGAGTGAGCTGGTGAGTGAGTGAGTGAGCTGGTGAGTGAGTGGTGAGTGTGGTGAGTGTGGTTGTGTGTGTGTAGTGTGGTGAGTGGTGAGTGAGTTCTGTGTGTGCGCCATCTGTCTGCCCGCCGCGTGTCACGTCTCGTTATCTCGTCGGCGCCATCGCGACGCGGAGATTAAAAACAAACAGCTCCTCGTGGGTACACCTGGCGACGATTAGTGCACGCGTCAGTGCGTGCGCAGGTGTGTGTGTGTACAGGTGTGTGTGTGTAGGTGTGTGTGTAGGTGTGTGTGTGTAGGTGTGTGTGTGTGTAGGTGTGTGTGTGTGTACAGGTGTGTGTAGGTGTGTGTGTGTGTAGGCGTCAGTGCGTGCGCGTGTGTAGGTGTGTGTGCAGGTGTGTGTGTGTGTGTAGGTGTGTGTGTAGGTGTGTGTGTGTAGATGTGTGTGTGTGTAGGTGTGTGTGTAGGTGTGTGTGTAGGTGTGTGTGTGTGTAGGTGTGTGTGTAGGTGTGTGTAGGTGTGTGTGTGTAGGTGTGTGTTGTAGGTGTGTGTGTAGGTGTGTGTGTGTACAGGTGTGCTAGGTATGTGTGTGTACAGGTGTGTGTGTGTGTACACGTGTGTGTGTGTGTACACATGTGTGTGTGTGTACACGTGCGTGTGTGTACACATGTGTGTGTGTGTACACGTGTGTGTGTGTACACGTGTGTGTACACGTGTGTGTGTGTGTACACGTGTGTGTGTGTGTGTGTACACGTGTGTGTGTGTGTACACGTGTGTGTACACGTGTGTGTGTGTGTACACGGTGTGTGTGTACACGTGTGTGTGTGTACACGTGTGTGTGTGTGTGTGTACACGTGTGTGTGTGTGTACACGTGTGTGTACACGTGTGTGTGTGTGTACACGTGTGTGTGTGTACACGTGTGTGTACACGTGTGTGTGTGTGTACACGTGTGTGTGTATAGGTGTAGGTGCGTGTGGAGTGTGTAGTTGTAGCAGCACTTGCCCCAACAGCCTGCTAGAGGCTACACGGGGGACATTTGCCTTTTGTTCTTCCGCGTGTCTATTTAACGGAGACCCTGGCAATGCGAACCCATTCACCACCCTCACCACCCTCACCACCTCCACCACCCTCACCACCCTCACCACCTCCACCCGTACCACCCTCACCACCTCCACCACCCTCACCACCACCACCACCACCCTCACCACCCTCACCACCCTCACCACCTCCACCCGTACCACCCTCACCACCTCCACCACCCTCACCACCCTTACCACCCTCACCACCTCCACCCGTACCACCCTCACCACCCTCACCACCTCCACCACCCTCACCACCCTCACCACCCTCACCACCTCCACCCGTACCACCCTCACCACCTCCACCACCCTCACCACCCTTACCACCCTCACCACCTCCACCCGTACCACCCTCACCACCACCACCCTCACCACCTCCACCCTCACCACCCTCACCACCTCCACCACCCTCACCACCCTCACCACCCTCACCACCTCCACCCGTATCACCACCCTCACCACCACCCCCCTCACCACCCTCACCACCGCTACCCTCACCACCCTCACCACCCTCACCACCCTCACCACCCTCACCACCTCCACCCGTATCACCCTCACCACCACCACCACCCTCACCACCCTCACCACCTCCACCCGTATCACCCTCACCACCCTTACCACCACCACCCTCACCACCTCCACCACCCTCACCACCTCCACCCGTACCACCACCCTCACCACCACCCCCCTCACCACCCTCACCACCGCTACCCTCACCACCCTCACCACCCTCACCCTCACCACCCTCACCACCTCCACCCGTATCACCCTCACCACCCTTACCACCACCACCCTCACCACCTCCACCACCCTCACCACCTCCACCACCCTCACCACCTCCACCACCCTCACCACCTCCACCCGTACCACCACCCTCACCACCACCCCCCTCACCACCCTCACCACCGCTACCCTCACCACCCTCACCACCCTCACCCTCACCACCCTCACCACCTCCACCCGTACCACCCTTACCACCACCACCCTCACCACCCTCACCACCACCACCACCGCTACCTTCACCACCCTCACCACCCTCACCACCACCCTCACCACCACCACCCTTACCACCACCACCCTCACCCGTACCACCCTTACCACCAACACCACCACCCTCACCACCACCACCACCACCACCCTCACCACCGCTACCCTCACCACCGCTACCTTCACCACACTAACCACCACCACCCTCAACACCACCACCCTCACCACCACCACCTTCACCACCCTCACCACCACCACCCGTACCAACACCACCCTCACCACCACCACCACCCTAACCACCACCACCACCCTCACCACCACCACCACCAATGGGTATTGCGGCAGTGAAGGCGGCGATGGTGGCTGTGGTCCTGGGGTTGGTGGCTCAGCCCGTGACGGGAGCTCGAGGAGATGTGCACGTGGTGGTGAGTAGTCGACCCTGACGAGATGTTGACTACCTCGCCTGGTATGCAGGAGGTCGTGAGTTCGATCCCGACCCTGATGAGATGTTAACTACCTCGCCTGGTACGCAGGAGGTCGTGAGTTCAATTCCGACCCTGATGAGATGTTAACTACCTCGCCTGGTACACAGGAGGTCGTGGGTTCGATCCCGACCCTGATGAGATGTTGACTACCTCGCCTGGTACACAGGAGGTCGTGGGTTCGATCCCGACCCTGATGAGATGTTAACTACCTCGCCTGGTACACAGGAGGTCGTGGGTTCTGACACCGGCTGCTGCTGTTTCTGTGTCTCTCTCCACGGGGTGGTCACGGCGTAGATTTTCATCAACACTCCCCACTCACCCCACCCCCACTGACCCCCCACTCCCCCCTCCCCCCCCACTCACCCTCCCCCCACCACCTTCCGCCCCCACCCCCCACCCCTTCCCCACTCACCCTCCCCCCATTTCCCCTCCCACACCCCCCCACTCCCCCCACTCCCCCACTCCCCCCCCACTCCCCCCACTCCCCCCACTCCCCCCCACCCCCCCTCCCGCACCCCACCCACTCCCCCTC